CCTAGTCATCCCTCCATCCCTTCTAGCCCTCTGCAGCCACTGGCCATTTTATTGTCTCTGTAGTTTTGCCTTCTCCATAATGTCATATAATTGAAATCATATATCACAGATCCTTTTCAGTTTGGCTTCTTTTACTAAATAGCATGCATTTAAGTTTCCTGCCTATCTTTTCATGACATGATAGCTCATTTCTTTTTTGTGCTGAGTAGTATTTCATTGTCTGGATGTACCACAGTGTTATCTAACCATCCACCCACTGAAGGACATATTGGCTGCTTCAAAGTGTTGGCTTACTTGCTAAATAAATAAAATAAATAAAACTGCATCAGGCATACTTTTTACCTGGTAAACAAACCTACCTGCTTGGCAAGGCCAGTGGAGACTATGGTGGGAATCCCAATTAACAGCTGCATCAGTAAGTGCTGGCATATGAGAGAGAGGCCTGCTAACTACACCCATGCACAGCTGCAATATAAAATTCAGGCCTGGGCCCTTTTCACAGATACTGGACATCCTCAGTAAAAATTATCAAACTAACCTACACAAGCATTTACTGAGCATATTCAGTGTTCGGTGGATGACGAGGGAAGTAAGATGACTACCTGCACTCAGGAAGGCTTGAGAGAGGTGTAGAGAGCCCATTGCTACTATAATATCCATAAAAATGAACATTTATTGAGTAGGTACTAAGTGCCAAGAGCTGTACTAAGTGTTTCATTTAAACCACACAGTGACCCAGCAAAGAGATTTTGCAGAACAGGGAGCTCGCTTAGGCAAGTTGGAGGAAAGCCCTCGCCATCTGAATAGCAGAAACTGGAACTGAAGTACATTTAGGTCAACCTGGACCTGTCCCTGCCTCCTTGTTGGTGTCCACATGAAGCAGCTCCTTGGACCCTGATGTCCAAGGTTGTGTTCTGACTTGCCTTCTGAGCCAAGGGTAAGATCAGGGATGCACAGAGAAAACTCCTCCTTGGATTCCACACACACACATGCAGATGACAGAAAGTACACCAGGATTCTTGTCCTACCAAGGAACCTCTGTGCCTTCCTGGCAAACTGTTCGGTCTCCCTAGAGCAAGATGAAGACCTCCAGCCAGGAATGAACAACCTCTTAAGGAGGGGCAGGGAGAAGGGAAGTCATTCTCAGACCTTGAGGCAGCAGATCCTGAAGTTTCAAATCTGATACCTGATCCCAGAGCTTTCTGTGACCAGCCATTCAAGAGAGACGCTGATTAAAAAAGAAGGGCAGGCAGGGGAGGTCAGGAAAAGAGCTACCACCACAACAAAATAATACCACTAAAGCAAATCAAGAAGAAGGGATAAAAATATAGAGAGAAATTAATGAGCTGAAAACAGTAAAACTAATATAAATAAATCTAAAACCTGATTATTTAACAATAAAAAATATAATAGGTAATCTATTCTCCTCACAGGGCTGGTTTAACTATCGCCACTTCTGAAACCTACTAGCAACAGGAACAATGCTGAGATCCTGATAAAGTGCCGTCCCTCATGGGGACCAACCCAACAGTGGTGATAAACTGGTTACACTGCACCCCTCCCACCCTGCACGGGTCAGTGATTCTTCATGACTGGAGTGGACACAGATTAGAGGCTTTGGTTTGCCTTTCCAGCATCACTATCCCAGGGCGTCCAGAATGTTTCATTCGTGAACATAGAATCCTGCACTGTATCCCAAAGGACCAAGGGATTCATTTTACACATGGCCATGGGACCCACTCATCCTATTACACACCACTCCTCCCAGGAGTTACCAAGCTGACTGAATAAAGGGATGACTTGGTGCCGAGGTGCCAGCTTAGAAAGGATACCATCTTCTAGGATGCTGTATGCACCCTAAAATAACGATCATTATGAAAGCTCTATGGCCCCACTAGGAAGCATTCATGGGTCCAGGAGTCTAGAGGCAGGGGGAGGAGTGGGAGGACAGTTCTTGCCCTCACTCTCTGTGATCCACTTGGGAAATTTATGCTTATAGCGCCTGCAAGTCTCTGTTTGCAGGTTTAGAGGTCCAGGTTCCCAGATGGAGAAACTATTCTACCAGGAGCCACAGAAAAAGCCCCAATCAACTTTTTCCAATGACTGCTGTTGCTCACTCTGGACTCCTCTAGGAAAGAGACCAGCAGACAAGCAGAGGCATCATCTCTTGGTGGGATAACTGGTCCTGATCAGCAGGAGTAGGTGACCTGCTTTTACACAGTGGGTCAGGAGCCCAGGTATTCCACTGGGGGACTCTTGATACTCCTCTGACCAATTGTGGTGGTAAGTCAATAAGAGCAGCCACTCTGGCTTGAGGAAGGCATGGCAACCAGGGACTCAGAAATCACAGGGATGTAGATCCTGATTGTCCCCAGTGGGATAGCCTCCTGGACTGGCAGAGGTGCCAGCTAAGCTAAGGAAAATCAAGAATGGATCACAGACAGTGAGTATCTTTGTATCAAGATCAGTTGTAGCTGTGAAGGCTGCAGTGAGGGTCACTGAGCTTATTTTAAGGTTCCCCAGGGAACTGAAGAATCCTGGAGGATGTGTTTCCAATGAGATGAATTTATTATACTAAAAGGTAGATCGTCAGGTACAGGGTGGACTGTAGAGGCCACTGTAGTGCACTGCCTAGAATCCTTCAGGGCTGAGGCTGCTGGGGGAGGGATGTTTGCTGGCATCTTGGGCTTCAGTTGAGTTTCTCCTTAAGAATTGCCCCTGAGTGAGGGGCACCATCTCAGCCAAGGTCATGCCCCTCGCTAGTCCGTCAGGATCTAGTTGACATGAGGATCCAAAGGCCTGGCCTTCTTGCCTTTATCTAAGACATCTCTGGAGGGCCACCCAGCTTCAGAGCTGATGCCTCTGTTGCGACTGCATCGCGGGACAGATTCCCCTTCTGTCGCCCTATTTCCTCATTCCCTTACAGCGCTGTTCCCAGGAGCACACCCCAGCAATCCACCTGCATACACCCCAGCAATCCACCTGCATACAAATCCCCACCTCAGAGTCGGTTTCCTAGGAAACCCAAGTCACAATACTTGTCAGTGGACATTTTAGAAGCTGATTCCACCTGCTTTTTGTAGTTACCAACCATCACCTCCTTGAGAGGCATAAGGGAAGCTGAGGGCAGAGAGTGTGGAGGGGTGGCAGAGAAATCTCAGAGACACCCCCTTGCATCCTTGGCTAATGGTTAGCTCTTCAGAGCAACAGTTACCGCAGGAGTGAAGCCCGGAGTTCTACAGGCTCGGACATTTTTCTTTTCTCTCAACAGTCTCACAGTGCCCGCAGCCAGAGGACCATTCTAATGGCTCATTTGCACTAGTTATTCTGTCTTTTGTGGCATCCTTGAGGTGCCTCCTGTTAAGCAATCAGCAAAAGAGCTAACTACTGCCAGGAATGAAAATAAAAGCGCTCTTTCCACTCTGCTCTCAAATGTCTCCTCAAAGAGAAACTAAGGGATATTTCCTAAGCAGGATGTGGTTTAACATCTTTCTTTTAAAACATATTTTTAGCAGCCCACAGTAAAAAGTAGTTTTATCCAAAAGGAAACTTTATCAATCTCAAAACCAGTTCTTCACATTTCAACTCTCTTCAACTTTTAAAATGTGTCCTTCTAGGCTATTAGTCACCCAAAAGACATTTAGAGCAGAAACAAAGTTGAGAGACAATGAAGGAATCAGAAGCTAAGGCCTTGTGGTTTGGGTGCCTCGCACAAAGTGAGAATTTGGCTGTGTACATTTTAGCCAAATTTTCCACTGTCCCAAATGTAGATGTCTCCGTGTTTTAAGGTCAGCATTAGACCATGAATGGCAAGTAGAAGAAAGAAAAAATGGCAAATGAAGGGCTGCCTCTGTGGCTTTCCTGCCATCAGGTGATCACACAAAGGGACCTGGAGGGGACAGGCCCACCTAGTGGGTAAGGGCGGGGACACACCGCCAGCAGGCTCCACGCCTCCCTCCCAGTGTCTTCTCCGATGCGTGCCTTCATGCCTGAGGGAACAGCGACAGGAGATTGCCCCTTGGTTTGGATATTTCTCTCCCGCAAGCCAGAAAGTAGGGTGTTGTAAATGCCAGCTGGTAGTTGGACTCGAGGTGTTGATTTCGGCCTGTCCCTGGCTGCCTGTCACTCTGGGAAGGACTCTAGGATGGACACTTGTCGGTGCCGCCTAATCTTCAGGTCACTAAAGGGCCAGTTTACACAAGATGCATCAGATATGCGGCATCCCCTTCCCCACACAGGTTCCTGATAAACGGCTCTCCCCTCCTCTCTTACAAAGGCTGAGCTAGCCCATGTGTTTTTCTTTCAGCAGACAACCTTGTCTCCAGGCTGGAATTCAGTTACAGGATGGAGCTCAAGCAGACCGGAGCCCTGCATGGCCCCCTGTCCCTTGCTCGCTGTCTGTGGGGTCCCAGCCTTGACCTCCTTTCTGCTCCCTGGCATCCTTCTCTGGCTCCTTTCCTGAGAGCTTGGGTGAGGATTTTTTCAGAAAGCCCAGGAGCCTTCTCCTACCAAGCTAGCCCCACGGAAGATCCACTTTGCACCCATTAGCACTAACAAGGCCAGGATGTGGTGATGCTGAGAAACCCCCTCACACACGCACACACTGCGAGTTGGCGGTGCGGCTCGGGTGGCGTGTTCTTATGCACCCACACAGTTCTCACCAGCTCACTCCCATGTCTGGGTGACACTGGCCCCACAGGGGACCTTTGCTCCTGCAGTCCAGAGAGATCTTATTTTGTTTTCATTTAGAAACTGCTTTACTCCATGAGGAAGGCCACAGTCCAGCAAACACGCCCCCATCAAGCTCAGGAAGCTTGCTGGTTCAAAAGGACAGAGAGGACTGTGGTCCCTCAAGGACACAGATGTTTTTCTTGGCTACTTTTCTGTACCTTTCTCTTGTTTGCCACGTCCTTCCATCAGAAACCATTCCACCATCTGCTGGTCCAGCGATCTTTTTCAGTCCTGCGGCTTCTGTCAGCTGGTCCATGGAAGAGATGAAACAAGATCACTGCTGTGGTGGAATGAGCAGGCCAAGATCACTCTGTGATTATCTGTCTCTGGAAAAATCTCCCCACCTTGCCAAACTTCTGTATGCTAACTTTGGATAGAAAGATGCTGAGAAGGCACAGTTCTGAAGTCTTGCCGCTGAGGTATGGCATATGCTGTAATAAAAGTGTGTACAGAAATGGCATACAGGAAGAACCGAATTATCCTTTTTCTTTTCTTCTATTCTTTTTTCTTTCTTTTGAAGGAGAGGTGGTCAGGAATCCACAAAGAGCAGGCAGGTGAGTGGGATGTTAAAATATAGTCCATAAATTGTTGCAGGACCTGCTGAAAGGAACATGGCAGTAGGGCCCTGGAGTCAGACATCAAGGTCAAATTCTGCTCCTGCTCCTTGCTAGCTGTGGGGCATTGGGTAAGTGACTTAACTTCTCTGTGTCAGTGTTTCCTCATCTGCAAGTGTGGGGGAAACAGAAGTTCCTGTCTCTCAGGCTTGTTGTGAAGACTGGATGACTAACACAAGCGAGGCTCTTGGCATAGTCCCTGCACATATTAAATGCTCAATAAGCATTAGCTAGTAGACAATTTTAGGACATATTCTTTTACCTTTTGCATGTCAGTAATCTTTTCATTTTTCCAGGAAGATATAAAAGTGGAGGAAAAAACAAAACCCAAGAGATGGGGAGAAAAGGGGAGAAAAAAGATGGGCCTTGAAGAGTGAAGGGAAGGGGAAAGCAGGAGGCCCTTCCCTGGGGTGGATGGTGGAGTCCCCCACAAGCCTCCAGGGGCCAAGCAGAGGGCTTCTTCCTGGAGAGGGAGTGAGTTCGACATTCCAAAGGAGATGCATGGCCCAGGGTTTCAGGGGAGCCAAAATGAGAACATTTATAGGGTTTCTGAGAAAACTGTGATGCTGTGAAGCCACAATGGTGGCAGATACACAGCCCACAGGTTCACATGTCAGCCCAGGAAATAATGCAGAGTCAGCAGCAGGGCTGCTGTGATTGGGCACCCCAGGAAGCCAGTCCACACACTTAACTAACATTTGTTGTTATATGAGATACAGAATTTTCTGCTGATTAAATTTCTTGATGTAAATATGAAGTAGGAGTATTGATCCAGTACTTCCCATATTCAGGAATGCTGGGGAAGAGGGCAGGAAGCACTGTGTCATTTGACTACAGTTCGTGGCATTGATGACCTGGCAACTGTATGTTAAAAGGTACCTTGATTTCTATACCACCAAGGGATGAACAGGAATTTCCAGGTAAAAAAGCAGGAGGGGATGGACATACCAAGCAGGGGAAGAATGTATCTTAAAGTCCAAATATGAGGAGCACCATGGTTTGTGTGGAATGCGCCAGTAATGGAGTATTAACTCAGCATAAAGTGCAAGGGACAGGGAGGTGAGGCTGATTGCTGGGACTAAGCCAGAATGTTGTGTGTCTTGCCTGGACACTTGAACTTGATCTTCCTAAGCTGTGAGGAATCAGTGAACAGTGTTGAGCAGAGGAATATCAGCTTGGAAGCAGTGGAGGTTGGTTTTGAAGGGACAGCATTTGTACTGTGGGAACAATATTAGAAACCCCCTGCAGAGGTCCAAGCAGGGCTGCTGGAGGCCTGAGGAAAAGCAGAAGGACCCCAGGGGAGCAGGCAATTCACTTTTGGGAAGTGAAATTGATTGAACTTGGAGAATTCATCAATAAGAGATGAGGCAGCCCCCTGGTTTCTGGTTTGGGTGGTTGAGGGGATGGCGGAGAGTCAAGAGACAAAGAATGTACAAGTGGGGAAGGCAACTTTTTTTTTAGATGCAGGATGGAGAGGAAGGGCTGAAGGAGAGCAGAATGCAGGTAGGCACGAGAAGGACTGGACTTGGTGAAAGACTTTCCACAGCTAAAGGACAAGATATTTAGCAAGTCTGCTGTTTTATATTATCTTTGCCACCTCTCTTTTTCTTTAGAGAGGGAATATTTAAAAACACCCTAAAAGCAGAACAAACAACTAACATCTACTAAGTGCTTCCTTTGTGACCTCTTTGGGTGGTTAAATACTTTACCTATGTTACTTCATTTGATCCCTAAAGCAGTCTTTTGAAACAAACATTATCATTTTGTTTACAGATGGATAAATTAAGGTTCAAAGGGATTAAGCAATGGGCTAAAAGCCTCACACAGTTAATAAATGGTAGAGCTGATACCACTCTGAGAATAAGGAAAATTTCAGGGAAAAAGTAAGAAGTCAGCATTTTTCATTGTTCCTATTTCTGGGTGGGAGAAGACATGCTGATAAGAAATTTGGATGAACACATGCACTTTGGCAGTTCTGTGATCACCTTATGTTTATAAATTCAAGCTTTCAAAACACATTCATGTTCCTTAGCTCAGACTTCTCTCAAGATATCTACATGAGGAGCCAGGCAGACACTAGTATCCCTATCAATCAGTGAGCAAACCCTCTCTGGCATCACCATGGAGCAAGTCCCTGCTTACAGGTTGCTGGCGGGAGTAGTGTTAGGATTAGGATTAGGGTTAGGATTAGGGTTAGGGTTAGGGTTTGGTTTACTCACACTCTTGTTCTCAAAGGCCTTATGGTCTAGTAGAGTTGCTGCAGGGACTACATCACAATGTAAGGCCTGCATGCAAAGGTGAAATGAAGCTCTAAGCCATGTGCTCTCAGCCCAGATTCCCCAGATCCTAGGCCCTCTAGGGAAATGGTTCTCAAAGAGTACAATGATTTTGTTCCCCATGGACATTTGCCAGCGTCTGAAGATACATTTGATTCTTTCAAATCTGGGAGGGGAGCTGCTGGCATTTGGCGGGTGGAGGCTAGGGATACTGCTAAACATCTTTCAGGCCCAGGACAGCCCCTGCCACAAAGAATTATCCAGCCAAGCATGGCTGCTCCAAGGTACTACAATTACTTGATTTGCATTTCATTTTTTAAATCACACTTTAGTTAAAAATAGTAATAAAACAACAGATCTGCTCAACATTATTACCTCCTAAATTTTAACAAATTTTAACACTCAAGAAAGGATTAACTTGTGCTGCCAAATTAAATGCTTTTGTGGAGAACTTGGACTAAATCTTCCTGGCATAGTGATTTGTAAAGGAGAACAATTTCTTTTTTTTTTAGGAGAATAATTTCTTAACAAGATTACCCACTATGAAGAATATCCCAAAATTTCTGGATAAGTCATTCAAAAATTAATAAATAAAACCATCTTCAACTATTTGTGTGTCTGTATCAGGGATTTTGCAATAAAATACAGAAATAAATTTGGAAGCTAGGGCTGACATAGACTATATGCTGTCATCCACAACATTCAATTTCATGTTTTTGTATTTATCAAACAGCCTAAACGACTGTGAAAGTAAATGTGAACTATGAACTTTTAAATCTTAGTTAAGGAAATACTGATCTCATTTATGCTACTAAAAAGAAATTTGAAAACCACTAGTACAGGGCATAAGATCCATGGCCTGGCCCTCAACATGTGTTATTCAGACCACCAGCACCAGCACTGGGAATGGACCACCCTGGCCAGACAGAGGGTTCTGGTAGCGGAACACTTGGGAACCATTTGAAGAATTTGGGGGCAGCATAACCTGGGCTGAGAGAGGCCTGCAACCAGCCAGCTCCCACTTGGGGGCCACTTCAGGCACCCTTACCTTGTTGACAGAGCAGCTGCTGCAGGATTCTGGGCCAGGATTGCCAACTGCTTTGCCACCATGAATCAATTAAACCTTCAATGGCCCCAAGAAGTTGGGGCTCATTATATCCAATTTTTCAGATAGGGAGCCAACCACTTTCGAAGCTGTAATTACCTGAGGTCAGAGGGCACCTGAGGCAGGAAGTTTGGCCTATAATAGCGCATTCTTGGCCCTCCCAGGCCTCCTGGCTGAGGGGCACAGAGAGGGAGCTCCTGGCTGCTGCTGGGAGCCCCTTCCAGAGTTTCTGGGGCTTCAGGGAGCCCTGGCAATGAGAAGGGGGCTGTTAGCCTCTCTGCTCAGGCTGGGCTCTGAGGAAAGAACAAGACTTCCAGCATCCTGTGGAGGAGGGGGTGGCCGCCCACAGGGTTTGCTGGAAAGACGCTGGGACCTGGGACGGGGCAGCCTTGGGGAGTAAGGGAGAGGTGGGAGGAGGCAGCCACAGGGAAGGCTGCAGGGGAGGCCTCCCGTGGGCCATTCCTGAGAGCAGCGGACACTGTAACAGCCCTCCAGTCAGGCAGAGAGGAAATTTCCGTACAGTTAAGAATCACCTAGCTTTCTTAAGAATGCAAATAGGCTCAACTGAAGCCTTATGTGTCAGCTAAATTCTTCACAGGCCCACAAAAAAGCCCTGGGAAACAGAATGTGCTGCTTGGCTGGTGGCCTGAAGCACTGCTTCTGCCTGGGCCTCCTAACCTGCTCTGATTTTGCTAAGAGTCTGTCACAGGGTCAGCTTTCCCTTGACCTCTTGGGAGACCCAGCCAGGTTTCTAAGCCAAGGCACCGGACTCACTCTAGTAGAAGAGCAAGTGCCTGAGGGGTCAGGGGAAGGGTTGGGACATCCTGCCCCGTCCCTTCAGGGCCCTTCAGCCACCCTTTCTGCAGAGGGAGAGGCAGGACCCTGCCCTGCCCGCACTGCTCAGGGCAAGTGTTGACCTCCAGCTGGGGCCCCTTAGCTCTGCCTTGAGGAGGATTCAACAGCTCCTGGGGCTGAGTGTGTTGAGGCCCTGCCTCCCCTTGATGCTGCCCTTTGATTCCTGGTTAATGACTCCCAGCTGGCTGGCCCAGTTCAGACTGGGAAGTAAAGGCTCTGAAACCTGAGCTCCTTACCAGGCAGCCTTAGACACCTCTGGGGACGGAGCACGTGCTGCCGGGCCCTGGTCAGGCTGCACATGGTCACAGCATCTCCATAGAGGGTGGCAGACAGAGCTGACATCGCCTGGGGGAGAGCAGGGAAATACCTCATCTCTTGACCTCTCAGGCCTCCTGAGCACATGGGGTCTGCCCTGAAATTCAAGGAATGATCTCTGAGGCAGGTCTCAGCCTAAAGAGCCTATGACTTCACCAGAGCAGAGGGACATGGATTTCCTGCCACTTCCTCAAATTTCTGATACTGATGCTTCTGGGATATTAAGAGGCTGCAAAAACCCAGGGAGGGGATAGTGTTAAGGTGAGAACACCTTTCTATAGGGGGTCCATGTGGGACCTTCTGCAAGGTGCAGCTAGCAGAGAAGTTGGCAAAGGAGGGAAAGGTGCAAACATCAATGAGGAGGCCCCAAATTCACTGCTGTGTACCAAGGTAAGGGGTGCCACAGGAGGTGGTGTTCTTCAATCAGGTGGTGGTGGTGTGAAAGCCTCCAAGGGAAGTTCAAAGAAGAGTGCCCAGCCCAGCCCAAGCCCAGACTAGTCCTGGTACCTCAGAGAGGAAGGCAGCCCTGGAGGGCTGGACTGGATTTGAGCTGCTGAGGCAGGCAACCATACATATGTATATATAATATATATACTACATACCATTAAAAATCATGCTATTTAAGAATATTCTTGAGGAGATGATTAAAGATGGTGGTGTGAAAGGTGAGACAGAAGCTTCCTCCTAAAACTGCATATAATACAAAAATATAATTAATACAACTAATCCTGAAAGAGCAACAGGAAAGATGACTGTACCAGACTGAATACACCTGGAGAAAAGAGCAGACCTCACAGAACAGGGTAACATACCAAAGCTGTGGCCCGGTGGGACCCAGGCCCTTCCCCAACCCCAGCTCACCAGCAGGAAGAAGGGAAGTGGAGCAGAGAGGGAGTGGAAGGCCTGGGACTGCTGAATACATAACTCCGGAGACCTGCTCTGGGAGCACAAACCTACATTTCAGGGTGCTTGCATGATACTCTTCATGGTTAGGGGATTGGAAAGCTAAGACAGGCAGAATTCCTCGAGAGACTGAGATTCCAGCCTCTTGTGGAAAGCAGGGATCCATATCCAGCTGCTCTGGGACAACTGAAAGACTTCCTAACAAGGAAGCCCTTAGCAAGAGGGCTGCTAAAGGGGTAAGGATTGCACAGAACTTACTGCTCAGGAGAAAGGACAGGTAGACAAAATTGTCTGGGTGCACTCTGCCCAGCAGGTTGGGAGCTTTCACAATTTCCAGGTGCTCCAGCTCCCTGGCTGGCTACACAGCTCCAAGGACACCCTCTGTGATATGAAGCCTACTGCGCCTTTGATCTTGCCAGCCCCACCTAGCTCATAAACCAGCAAACCCTACTTTGGCATTAGGCCAGCCAGAGGGAAGATCTGTCTACAGCAACTACAAACGCAAAGCATAGAGGCTTATGCCTGTGTGCTCGGCCCACTGGTTCAGGCAGTGGAGACAGGCATAGCAGCCGGGAAGCAGGAAACAGCTCTTTCCTCCCCTCAGGCACCAATACCATATGCCAGCGACCCCCAACATTGCTTCAGGGGCTGAGCAGCTTCAGAGAACAGAACTTCTGGACACTAGAGGGTGCCATATATAAATATGAAATGCCAAAGGAACCTGGTTCAAAGTAAATTATTAATACAACCCCTGAGAAAGATGACATGGACCTCATGACTCTTCCTGAAAGGGAGTTCAAAATAAAAATCATTAACATGCTAATGGAGGTATGGAAAAATATTCAAGAACTCAGGAATGAATTTCGGTCAGAGATCCAATCATTAAAGAGCACAAGGGATGGAGGGTATTAAAAGCAGATTGGATACAGTGGAGGACATGGTAAATGAATTAGAAACTAGAGAAGAGGAAAACAAAGAAGCTGAGGCACAGAGAGAAAAAAGGATCTCTAAGAATTAAAGAATATTGAGAGAACTGTGCAACCAATCCAAATGGAACAATATTCACATTATAGGGGTACCAGAGAAGTAGAGAGAGAGAAAGGGGCATAAAGTGTCTTTGAGGAGGTAATTGCTGAGAACTTCCCCAATCTGGGGAAGGAGATAGTCTCTCAGGCCATGGAGATCCACAGATCTCCCAACACAAGGGACCAAAGGAAGACAACACCAAGACATATAGTGATTAAAATGGCAAAGATCAAGGATAAGGACAGACTGTTAAAAGCAGCTAGAGAGATAAATAAGATCACATACAAAGGAAAGCCCATCAGGCTAACATCACACTTCTCAGCAGAAACTTTACAGGCCAGAAGGGAGTGGCATGATGTATTTAATGCAATGAAGCAGAAGGGCCTGGAACCAAGACTACTTTATCCGGCAAGATTATCACTTAAATTTGAAGGAGGGATCAAACAATTTCCAGATAAGCAAAAGCTGAGAGAATTTACCTCCCACAAACCATCTCTACAGTCTATTTTGGAGGGACTGCTATAGATGGAAGTGTTCCTAAGATTTAATAGCTGTCAACAGAGGTAATGAAACCACAGTAAAGAAAGTAGAACAGCTAATTACAAAGCAAATGAAAAATTAAATTAACTATCCCCAAAGTCAATCAAGGGACAGACAAAGAGTACAGAATATGATACCTAATATATAAAGAATGGAGGAGGAAGAAAAAGGAGGATAAAAAGAAAAGAACACTTAGATTGTGTTTGTAATAGCATATTAAGTGAATTAAGTTAGACTCTTAGATAGTAAGAAAGTTAACCTTGAACCTTTGGTAACCATGAATCTAAAGTCTGCAATGAAAATAAGTACATACTTATCGATAATCACCCTAAATGTAAATGGACTGAATGCACCAATCAAGAGACATAGAGTCACTGAATGGATAAAAAAACAAGACCCATCTATATGCTGCTTACAAGAGACTCACCTCAAACCCAAAGACATGTACAGACTAAAAGTCAAGGGATGGAAAAAGATATTTCATGCAAATAACAAGGAGAAAAAAGCAGGTGTTGCAGTACTATTATCAGACAAAATAGACTTCAATACAAAGAAAGCCACAAGAGACAAAGAAGGAGATTACATAATGATAAAGGGGTCAATCGAACAAGAAGATAAAACCATTATAAATATCTATGCTCCCAACACTGGAGCACCTACATATGTGAAACAAATACTAACTGAATTAAAAGGGGAAATAGAATGCAATGCATTCATTCTAGGAGACTTCAACACTCCACTCAATCTAAAGGACAGATCAACCAGACAGAAAATAAGTAAGGACACAGAGGCACTGAACAAGACCTTAGAACAGATGGACCTAAAAGCCATCTACAGAGCTCTACACCCAAAAGCAGCAGAA